GCGGGCGGGCGGCGCGGCGCACCTGCCGCCGGGCATGGCCGCGGCCAACGGCGCGGCGCAGGCGGGGCTGCTGTACCCGCAGCCGCCCGGCTTCACCGTCAACGGCATGCTGGGCGCCGCGCAGCCCGCGCTGCACCACCACGGCCTGCGCGACGCCCACGACGAGGCTCCCGGGCCGCCCGCGCCGCCGCACCACGGTGCCGAGCACCCGCACGGGCCGCACCCCGCGGGCGGAGGAGGGCCGGGGGCCGGCGGAGCGGCGGCGGCGGGAGGGCCGCACCACGAGGCGCACTCCGACGAGGACACGCCGACCTCGGACGACCTGGAGCAGTTCGCCAAGCAGTTCAAGCAACGGCGGATAAAGCTGGGATTTACCCAAGCGGACGTGGGGCTGGCGCTGGGCACGCTGTACGGCAACGTCTTCTCGCAGACCACCATCTGCCGCTTCGAGGCCCTGCAGCTCAGCTTCAAGAACATGTGCAAGCTGAAGCCTTTGTTGAACAAGTGGTTGGAGGAGGCGGACTCCTCCTCGGGCAGCCCCACCAGCATAGACAAGATCGCGGCGCAGGGCCGCAAGCGGAAAAAGCGCACCTCCATCGAGGTGAGCGTCAAGGGCGCGCTGGAGAGCCACTTCCTCAAGTGCCCCAAGCCCTCGGCGCAGGAGATCACCTCGCTGGCGGACAGCCTTCAGTTGGAGAAGGAGGTGGTGAGAGTGTGGTTTTGTAACAGGAGACAGAAGGAGAAGCGCATGACGCCGCCCGGGGGGACGCTGCCGGGCGCCGAGGACGTGTACGGGCCCAGCAGGGACACGCCGCCGCACCATGGGGTGCAGACCCCCGTGCAGTGACCTGGGCGCCCTCCCCCCACCCCTACTCCTCCTCCTCCTTCCCCCCGCCTTTCCGGCGTCCTCCTTTCGGTGTTGGGGTTGTTTTTTGTTTTTGTTTTTGTTTTTCTTTGTTTTTATTTTTCTCCTCTCTTTCAAAAAAAAAATCGAGCAAAAAAAAAAAAAAAAGAAAAGAAAGAAAGATAAATAGGGAAAAAATTAACAAAACAAAACAAACAAACAAAAAGCGAGCAGAAAAGCGAACGCGAATCCAAGCAGACAGAAAGCTCCGGTCGGGCGGCGGGTGCGGGCTGTGGCCGGGCCTTGAGGAGTGAGTACTGCGCTGGCCGGGCCGGGGGCGGCGGTGCGGGCGGGCGCGCGGCTGTGGGCATCCGCCCGTCGGGATGTGAGCAGGGAAAGGAAGGAGCCCTTGTCCCAGGCAGTATTGAGACGTAGTCATTTGCACTGCGAGGATATCGAAGTTTACAGAAATTCAGTGGGTTTCTTGCCCTCTTGACCCGATGTGGGGGATGAGGAGTACGTATATCGGTGTGTGTGTGTGCCGCCCGCACGCAGGCGTATGTATGTAGGATGTGCACACGGCCGTGCGGCGGAGCGGCTCCGGACCGTCCGCGGGGGCAGCGAGAGCGGGGCGAAGGGACGAAGCAAACTTCGTTTTCCGGCAGTGCGCGGCCGCGGAAGGGACCGCGGCCCCGGCGAGAGGCTGCAGGGCCGGGAGGAAACACTTCGCGCCCCAGGGGCCGCCCCGAGAGAAGTACGGGGACGTTCGGGTCCCCCCGGCCACAGCCCTTCGCCTCGGCCCCTCCTCGCCTCCCCCGGAGCGGCTCTACTCGCAGCCCGCGCTCCTTTCACCTTTGCTTCCCGTATTTATTATTTTTCCTTACCCCTCCCCCCCTCCCCCCCCCCCT